GGTGTACAAGAGCTTGACATATCCCGACGCGGAGAGGCGAAGGCACGTTTTCTACCTTGAAACTCGTATCCTGCAAACCCGTGGAATGTACTGATAATCATCCCACCATCCAGCATCGTTGCAGGCGGCAAAAAGAGAACGTGCTCAGAGCGCTCGAAACGGAAAGAGAGATCGATAGGTGAAGGTGGTGAGAAGCACAACTATCAGATTGAACAGTTTTGAGTCCCGTGTGCTTGATGTACTTTGTTTGCATCTGAAACCATTGTAAAATTCCCAGGGCCAGCATGTGGCGAGCGACACTTTACCCGAGTCACAAAGCAAGTACGCGTACACCGATCACACTGCGACTCTCTTGGCCATCACACTGAGATGACCGTGAACGATAGCACAGGTGACCAAACGATGAGATCCGTTCAATGGTCAATAAAAAGCGTATAGGATTCGCCGAACGAGACAAATTACTACAGCATCGAGGAAGACCCCGGTGCTCATCGTATCGACCAAAACCGCACCACTGGCCACGATTTTCCGCTCCGCTATCATGCCCCCGGGGTGACCAAGTTTCCGGGGTGCCATACCTATCTCAATCAGCTTCGAAGGCAATCCCACATCTCGGCGGGAAAGAACAGAGTTAGGAACGTGGTCACAGCGACATCATCACATACATCACAAGAAACATTCCTCCGAAAAAAGGTGTGTGGGGACTGGGCGGGCGTTCCGCTGAGATCGAAGGTCGCGTCACTTCCAGGGGTAGGTTGGAGGTCTAAGACGTCCAGATTGCGACGAGAGCGAGAGTCGCCTACCATGCATGTTCGGATTTGTCCCACAGGTGGAGGTGTAATTATCCAGTACTGGCCAGGCGGCTGCGATCGTACCCAGGCTACCATGGAGTACTGAAGAATAACTTAAGGTAAATATTCGCACCTAAGTACTAGAATGGGGTTGCAATGCTGGTGGCGGGCGTCGGCAACTCCAACGACGAAGATTGCAGAACGATTGGACAACTGATCCCCAGGGAACTAGATATCAAGTCAACGGCCATCAAGTTCAGAGACCAAATTGTCCGAGGACAGACTCGCTTTGTGATAAATTGAAGGCAAAATACGAACATTCGGCTTATCGATCAATATTCCTAGTTGCTGATCAAAGGCGCCATCGGTCTCATGTACAAGCAATGCTACAGTTTATCAAGCAGTCAGTGACGTTGAACTAATCCATCAAAGCAAAGCAGAACGTACCGGAAGCGAAAGACACAAGCTACTTCTCCTTCTTCATCACCGACCCGGCCTCTGCAATTTTCCACTTGAACCTATCCTTCATCGCCTCAACCAAGACCAAACCCTTCTTCACATCTCTCCATTTTATTGCCCACTCCTGAGAAACCGTTGGTTTACCGGGTGTCCCACCCCAATTTGTTACGAACAAGATCTTGCAATCCGGCGGAAGGAAGAGACCGAGGAACATGGTCACAGCAACATCGTTTATCGCATCACGCGGAACATTCCCTGGAGAGAATGTATGGAGATGGCGGAGAGGCTGGTCAGGGGCTCCGTATACATCGAAGCCGACGTCAATTATGGGGGTAAGTCGAAGGGCCAAGACCTCCAGGTTGGGACAGAAGCGGGAGAAAGGGAGGATACCGGTCAGGTCGGGACATTTGAGCATAATGTTGCTGGGTAAACTCCGCTGTGGATCGTCGCACAAACGTAGGTGAGTGAGCCCTGGCCAAGCGACTGCCAGTTTATTTAGATCGTCTTGTTCGATAGCAAGGGGATAGCTGTGGGTCAACGTGAGCCTCGAGATATTGGAGCAGCGTAGGATGGGTTCAATGTGCTGGAAGTGAACGACATCGACGATGGAGAGTGCAGAGGGTTCGGATAGTTGAGTTGGAGGGAAGGTTTTGTCGATTTCAACACTTAGCCTACGGAGAGTTTTCTCGAATCGGGAAGCCACGACCTCGAGGAGATCCTTGATTCCAGCGGGGGTCTCTCCTTCGCGGGAAGTCGATGTGACTTGCAGATCGGAGAGGCGCGGCGCGCTCGATGATTCCCGGAGGAAGTGAGCCAAAGTTGGGTAGGATGTATGAATTGAGAGCCGTTGAAGATCGCCGAAACCTTCTTCTGAGATTGGTGGAGGCATCTGAGTGACTCCGGCTTGTGTATCGAAGCGAGTAAATTCGATCGATCGAAGGTTAAGGCAGGATGACAACTGCTGCATAACCTCCGCAATGTTCAAGAAGGAGGGAAGGGAGAGCTTCGAGAGTAATGGAAGGGACTTTGCGAGTGCGATCAAAGGACCTTTCAAGATCTCGTGTCGGCCGTGGTTCGTTTGGATCTCTACTATCTTCAATGATGGCATTCGTTCCGCGACTGCGAGAAAATACTCTGAAAGGATATCTTGGGTGATTGTATCCGGGGTAAGAAGGGTAAACCGAAAGGTTTTGACGTTGGGGTGCATGAAAATCACGCTGTGGTGACTATATCCCCTCACATCGACTTCTCGCCATAGAATGGTAGTGAGGTTGGGGAAGATGGGTTTTGAGGACTGCAGACGGGCTAGAGTATCGAATAGAGGGATCATACGGTTCTGCTGAGCATTATCGAGAGCGGAGCAGTCCAGTGTGCGGACCAGTGGTGCATATAATGATTGAAAACGGCTCCATTTCTCGGCAGTTGGCGCTACGAAGTACTGGCTCAAAAGTATTATTCATCAGATAACATGTTGAGAAGAAATGCTTCACAGAACGCACTCGTTGGTAATTGATCTGGCTCTCAGCTCCCAGCAGTGCAAAAACGACATTGATGTCCGTGATCTCCTCCCATAAAAAACTCAGCGCGTCTCTCGACCACGATTTACAAACGATGGCATTGTTCGCATTCGATTTTCGGCCGCACCATTGTAGTATTAGATGAACGAGTTCGTCGACTTGGAAGAGTCGATGCATGGAAGATTGGGTATCGATAACTGGAAGTGATGGAAGAGAGCAAGAATGACTGGGACTTCTTCAGACGCGTGCGTTACGCGATTCGCCAAACACGAGCAAAGAAATATGGTAATGACGGCCCGGGTATCATCTCACCGAGCGTAGAAAATACGAAGAGTACTGTCTTGTAACTCGTAATTGGGAGGAAGGTCAACATAATAGCTAGGGGGCCTAGTTCCAGAGGAACCTTCCGAGTTCAAAACCTGAACACGAATACGACGAGGTGAACCACTGGATGCTGAGGATTGTGAAGGCCTGGGAAACCCGGGGAGCTCCTGCTCTAAATCCAAAAAACTGACGTCATCTTCCTTCTCACGAACGAAACTGAGCGCAGGGAGAGTAGGAATAACAATTCCAGGGCCTGGTTTGGCTTCAAATGGATCCTCAGAGTCGTAGAGAGAGGCTCGCTCGAGGCGGTAGGGCATCGCGGCTCGGGCTGCGATTCGCTTGTTTATCTGGCGTTGTCGATACCAGCAGAGGGATAATACGGCCAGGACAAGGAGGAGGAGCATCCCGAGAATTGCTGCGACAATGACCCATCTGTGGTCTCCACCCACGTGTGTCGATGATACTGGCAAGGGTGGCGAGGGTGGTGTTGTCGGTTTGAGGCTAGACTCGATCCTAGAGGGGTAAGCGTGAAAATTGAAATTAGGCATGGAGGAGTTGATTGAGACACGTACGAAATTTGGGTTGAGCTGAGTATATCGAGAGTGCTCGAAAATTCCGTGATTGTTTCTTCACCTCCAGATACTACTCCGTTGACTGGCGTCTGGGTTGCCTCGCTTGAGCTTTGGCTGTTGAGCACGATACTGGTACTCTCGGGTACGCCTCCTAACGAACTCGAGCTTGAGGAGGAGACCGACGGAACCACGACATCCGTGCCAATTGTGGATGGCAAAAGTACGTTATTGACAAACGAACCAGGTCCTGAGGTCGCAGTAGAGCTCACGGGTGAGCTGAAGAACACAAGATCAGGAGATGTTATAGTCTGTTATCACGAGCAGGGCTCTACCTCGACCCAGTAGTTATCCCACTCCTCGGTCCGCCCGCTTCTGCATCGTCAGACGAGATCTTCAAGGTTGTAACAATACCGAAGGATCTGGACGTGTCAAAACGATCGAGTCTGATTCCGCAGATATCGATCATTAATCACAGGAATGTGATATGCGATAAGCTTGTGGAGACTTACGAGCTTGAAGCGTCACTGATAGTAAAACCCGCTATAGTAAACTTCGAGGTTATTCCTGTCAGAGTGGAAGATGTTGACGAGGGTATAAGAGTATCTGCGCTGGTTGTGCCGCTGGAGGAAGCCTCGGTGATACTGAGGTAATCATGGGCATCGGTTCCAACTGGGTTCCTCCGCTGTAACGCACCTTGACGTGCCCGTATCAATCTGTAGAGATACCGTCGTTGATTCGGGAGTCGGGGTAAGGGAAGTGATGGTGGTTGCGGTTGTCATAGTTGAAGGAGCCACAGAAGTAGTGGTGACGGATACTGAGGCCGCAGATAATGAGGAAGTAAACCTTCGGGAGGTATTTTAGATCGATGTTAAGGGAGCCAATTCCGGCTTACGAGTGATCAGTTGAGGAGACAGGGTAAATGTGGAATAGTGCGGCTCTGATGCAAACACGATCAGTGGTATCTTCCACAGGTTTACTGCCACTCACATCAAACAAAGGATTGGACGACGCATTGAAAGTAACGCAGCGTCTGGCGTTGAAAATTGGCCAGTGTGTTGGAGGGATTGAGGGTAAAGCATCAAGAATAATACAATTCTCCACTTCAAATACAAACGATGGCCTCGACTGGGACATCCAATTGAGGTCCAAAAATTCTTTGCAGTTAATTACATCGCATCAACAACAGATCATCATGATTTGTTGGGTCGGTTCGTGAGAATGTCTCTGACTTGCGGTACTAATAATAAGTGCTCGTGAAAACAGCCCCAGAGATGGAGGTCTTTGCCTAGAGTGCACGGAGCGGTATACACAGAAAAATAGAAACCCAAAAGCTCAAACTGCCCCAGTGAGGCTCGAACTCACGACCTTCCGATTGACCGCAACTCGTTTAAGTATAAGTAACAGTCGGACGCTGTAACCAACTCAGCCATGGGGCACAGGGAAGTGCAAGTGATACAAAGCAACGTAACGGACCGAGCATTCGACATGCGATTGCATCCTGTCGCTGCCCATGCGAGTGCGAAGCTTCTTCTATCACAATCTGTCGTGCAGCATCAACAACAGGATCACTTTACGTGAGTTGTGATTCACAACTTACGGATGGAATCAACATTCCCATCTTGATCTTCGCATTGGACGGATATTGATGTTATTCTCGGTTTCTTATTATATTCTCCAGCGAAGATAAGGGATGCTTGTTACTTGTTCTGTCTCCCTTTCTCTCTGTCCCACCGCGTTACATTCTTTCCTTGGCCCACTAGGTCTTGGCGGACATTCAAAATGAGAATTCGTCATCCGCTCATTTTGTGAGTGTACCTGGGGCTTGGTTGCACTTTCTGGCAAAAAACACCCTCTTACTGACCTCTGTATCAGTCTTATTTACTATGTTTACGCAGAGCATGCCCAGTGTTTCTCTTTCTCCGGAGTTCCAGATCAAGTTACTCAGAAACAGCCAGTCACTTTGACCTGGTTTTGGGAAGTATCCGACCCGACGAATGCAATGCTCGCAATTACCGCTGCGGGTGCTCCAGTAGCCGATATATTTCCACAAATAACGCAGTTTGGAAGACACGGTCAAACACAAGGTATCTTGGCCTTATCGCTCAAAGATGTTGGGTAGTTCCACCTACCTTTTATCCGGAGTATTCTTTGACTTAGATCATTCAGCACTAGTTCGGTGGTAATCTACAATCTTGATGACGTATCTTACGATGCCATCGTCCAGGCGGAAGTCAAAGAACGACCGTAGGTTACTGCTCTGCATATCTCTATTCGTGTTGAAGCTTACCTAAATCTAGTTCATTTGCTTTTCAAGATCACCCCTTTACCGTTTTTTCGGCGGGACCACTTTCGCCACGACCAACCCTCATTCCAACCCCAGGCAGTGGAATTCCACAGACACCCACACAGGTCACAGAAGGGTTGGTCAAACGGAATACATCGTTGTTTCATCATACCGATTGTAGCCCCACAGTACCTCTTTGACCTCTCCCCCAACGAGCATAGCAATGTCCAGCGCCACCACTAGTACCGTTCTCCCGCCAATCTCAGCGACAAGTTCAAGCTCAGAGGGAAACTCAGAGTCTGCAAGCCAGCAGCATCCAGAAGGGATGCCGACGAGAGAAGCTGACTTGTGTGTTCGGACTTTTTTGCTCGTGAAATTTCTCGACCTAATGGATGCTTCAGGCCCGGTGGTGGTGAAATATCCTCAGTGGGTGAAGGAATATCGCTAGGGCCTGGCTCCCCACAGTCCAGCGATACTTCTGAGATCCACACATCCGGCTCCAAACACCACTCAAACGTTGGGGAGATCATTGGCGCTGCGCTCGGATCTCTAGCATTGATCCTCGCCCTCTGGCTGATCTTACATTGCCGTCGTCACAGAAAGCAAACAAGTTGGCGGGCCAAAAAACCTGAAAAATTCTGCCGGGAGAACATGGTCAGACGAAGGAAAGATGATCAGCTTGATGAGGAAGGGGTTGCTGGCCATCTCTCAGTTCCCAGGTCTGCATTGCATGCTATTACGTATTACGGCGGCGACACTCCGACTATTTTGAACGCACCAGGCTCAAGAAGAGACTCTGAAGCTCGATCGGAGAGAGCTGAGTACCCGATTTCTACTATTTCGACAATCGATAGTCAGACCGACGCCACATCAACGGTGGAGCCCACCTTCACGGAGATCACCCACGAGTACATCACACCCCGAACCGATAGGCAGATGGAGATTGAGAGGAAGGTTTTCGAGTTACAGAGTCGAATTATAGGGTTGAGTTCCTCGGAGAATGTTGCATCGACGTGCGCGTCGATGGAATCGGAGATAGTGAACCTGAGAGTGTGTGTTGTGAGGTTGAGGGTGCTTCAGGAGGGAGAATGGGCGAGGGAGCTGACTGATGTGGTACCAGTGGAGATGTTGAACTAACGAGGTTCTGTATCCCGGATATTCACTCATATACGACCCGTTTTGAAGTAACTCATGCCTCAGCTACTACAGTGAGGCTCAAACTCACGAGATTAGGGTGGGCGTAGCTAACGCGACCATGAACTGACACATGATCTGTTGCTACCATTTAAAACCTAAGCATGCACCAGAATCATTAGCACGTATCATGGTGCTTTCAATTTCCGTACTTGAGATCGAAGCGTCTGACTTGTAGCATCACAGGCAGGTCCGATTAAGAGAAACAGGCACCCTTAATCTCCGCACATCATGACTACTAACTAGCCTCAACGGCCACCCGAGCCCGCATCTTGATCTTCGCATTGGCGAAATGAAATGGTGAGTTCTTGGCTTCATGTTACACTGCCCAGTCAAGGCAAAGAATGCTGGGTCCCTTCTCTTTCTCCACTCACTACTTTTCGCTCGTTTTCGATCTACCAGGCCAAGTTGACGGGTATCTAGGATGAAAGTTCGTGGTCTTCTCGCCTTGTAAGTGCTTTTAGCCGACAATAGGGAAGAGAACCATATGACTGATCTCCGCCCCAGGTTAGCAAACTGTGTTATCAGAGAGCTCGTCCAATGCTTCTCCGTTGATGGAATTCCTGACCAAGTTACGCAGAACCAAGTGGTCTCTTTGACCTGGCACTGGGGGACGACCGACCCTACGAGAGTCATGATCGCCCACACTTTCCCAAATGAAGACGTAGCAGGAATAATTACTCCGTCTGTGACGGTAGATACTACCAATACACAAGGTGTCTTGACCTTCACGTTTCCCGACGGTGGCAAGTAAGTCCACAGTAGCTCACAGTCGGATCCTCATTCACGCAAGAGTTCCGTCAGGACTAAGTCTATGGTAGCCTACGACCTGGATCACGTAGAATACAACTCTCTCGTTAAGGTCGCTCAGCCACGACCGTGCGTTCATCTTGACAAAGTTAATATACTACTAACCTAACCCTAGCTCGTTTTTCTTTGACGATACACGTCAAATTACCGTCCTTGCCCCTGGTTCATCCCCACCTCGAACAACCAGCTCGACCTCGGGTCGGACTATACCGACTATCACGGAGTCGCAGTTGTAAGTCGAAGAACATGTTGTTCGTTGTTCAGAGCCTCAGGGTATAGCTCAGAAGGACCTCCTCAACACCAGACTCGACAATATCTGCCGCGCAGTCCACGACTCCTATAGCAATAACCAGAGGCTAAAATCGCGGTTCCGGAAGTGCAACAGCGGGACTAACCACGTTTGAAGCCGGTAACATGTGCGTTAGCCTTTTGTTTGTGAACCCTCCTCAACTGATAAATTCCAAAGGCCTCATGAGGGCGACACGGCGGGTCCAGAAAGCGGCAAAAGCACCCCGTTGAGTTCGGCTCCTCCGCAATCTGATGAGTCCCCTCAAAGTCGGCCACCCCCTGCCAAACGTCAAGACATTGCAACTATCATTGGTGCTACCATTGGATCCCTGGCATCGATTATCCTCATACTCTTCTTCATATTTTGCTGCCGTCGTCAAGGAAGGCATGGTAGGAGCCTGCTACCCGAGAAGCCAGAGACTTTCCATGGAGAGAAAATGATCAAAAAACGGGCAGAAAATCCACTTAAACAGAGGGACACCGCACACCGCAGAGACTCTTATCCTGAAGCATCTTTGACTACCACGTTTGTCCCGCGATCTCCGCGCTGCTTTGACGACAATGGCTCAGCTTCCTCCAGCATATCAGCCTCAGAAAGAATCTCTGAGGCTACATTTGAGAGTTCTGATTACACCAGTTATACCATTTCCGAAACAGAGAGTGAAGCCGACGTCATATCGACTATCAAATCCACCTCTACGGAGATCACCCACGAGTACATCACGCCTCGAACGGACAGGCAGATGGAGATCGAGAGGAAGATATTCGAGCTGCAAAGCCAGATGATACGACTGAGTGATCGGTCGGGGTCTTCGGAGATTGACTCACCGACGCCTATGTCGATGGATCCGGAGATAATAAAGCTAAGAGAGAGAATCGTAAGGCTAGAAGAGCTTCGAGGAGAGGGGTGGGCAATGGAGTTGACCGAAGAAGTGCCACTGGAGATGTTGTATTGATTAGCACTCTACTTACATGGCTCAAATGCTACGTGTTCGAGATGCGCCGAGCCACTCTAGTGAGGCCGAAGCTCACAACACTCCGATTGTTTGTGTTTCTAGTCGGATGTTGTGACTAAATCAAACCATGAGCATTTAGAGTTCAATTAGGTACCCGAATTGTTGGCCTGTATTCCGATCCTCCTCGCCGTCCATACAAATGTCAAGCTTCTACCGTCGTATTCTCAGGCAACGAGGACGGGTCTACTCTAGGTGATCTCGGGCTCTTTGCTTACGTGTATCATGCTGGGCGGATATTGATGGTGCCTCCTCGGTTTCATACTTCATTGCTCAGTCGAGATGAGGGATGCCGGTTCTTTCTCACTTCCCTTCACGCTCGTCGCTGTTCACTCGTTTTCAACCTTCCAGGTCTTGACGGTTATCTAGGATGAGATTCCGTCGTCCATTCGTTTTGTGAGTTCAGTTCGAGTTTAGTCATACTATCTACATTCTTTAACTCACGGGATGGTAAAATTAGCTGTTTGTTTGTGGAATTTGCCCGATGCTTCACCATCTCAGCAGTTCGAGCCCCAGTCACTCAGTCTCAACCCGTCGAATTAACTTGGTCTCGGGAAACAACTGGCCCGACCACGTTTATTCTCGTATATGCTTATCCAGGACCATCACCGCTCCCCGTATCAATATCGACGATTGCAACTACACCAGACAATGCAACCCAAGGAATTTTGACCGTAACTTTCGGGAATGTCGAGTAGGTCCACCAGTGGTTGATATATGGTGTAATGCCCAAAATTCTCCACAGTATTCTGCATATAGACGCGTACGATCCCAATGCTTATATACCGCCCGGAGAGTCTCCGTACGTTGAGTTTATCCAATGATGATCGTTCTGCTAACTCCGAAT